GGCTGAATTGCACAAAACGCATGATCGCACCGGCTAGTCTGGTGCGCGTTGCCATTTATTTTTAATGCACACATAGATGAAGAGACAGAACGAAGCCGGAGTGGAGGAGAAATCACATTCGGTCCAAAGAGGATATAACAGACAACACCGATGACAGCTGAGGTAATATATCACAAAAGACGGGTTTGGCAAGTTGTTCCACAAACAAGACAAAACAGCCTTAGAAAGATGAACACTGTGGCAGTACTACTGAATGATAATCTGTGCACTCCGGAAGCTGTGTAGCGTCTCGGCTTAATGTTTGTGATATCCTTAAACAAGTTGTCACACGCTGCATTGCACTGTAGCACACCTGCTTGAACATTGATATCCATACAAACGCACTTCGCCACCTCCCCACAGTAACGACTACCGTATCGCACCAGCTGCAATTATTATATTGAGTCCTGGCTGATACAATTAAAAAGCCCTCTGAAGTTGGAAAAACTAAAGTACTGGCGCACCAAGCTATAAACAATTTTTTCATTCTTTGCAACTTACAAAGAATGTACTATTTAGCCCAAATGGTTCGGTCATGCATACGAACACTAAGCAACGGTACGAGTGGTACGCCGTTCATTGCCACGTGAGCGTAGGAAAGCACGGAATAACGTTGCCTTCGGAATAGTACTTCTCACTGAAGCAGTTAAGCAAGAGATTGGAGTAATGGTTGCCCGATTTTTTTTTCATACGAGACCGGCTAATTTTTTTTTTTTTTTTTGTTTTCAAATTGATAATCAAATACAATTTTAAATCGTAACACTTTTATATTTTTTACGTTATTGAAGACTCCCTTCTTTTACTGTGCTGTTAATTACCAAGAATACCGGGGACGCCTGGGCTCCCATCATGGTTATACCATGTTGGTGGTGTTACTGGGTTGCCCCCAGATGCTAGTGCAGCTATTTCAGGCTCTTCGGTCCTGGGCTGCATAATTCCACTTAGTATCCCTTGTCTGTTTGATTCCTATGCGCCAAATCTTCCTTACACGCACATTCTACAACACTGTGTCCTACAATACTGTTTTCGACAAAAAAAGTGCTTATTGCTCAGCCAGTGCCTGTGCAAAATGGATAAAGGATACCTTCCTAAGCATCACTTTAAAACGATGGCAAAGATTGTGATTTCTGGATGAGCTTGCTTGGTTGAGTTGTTTCGACATGCCGACCAGTTCAAGATAAAGTCCATGCTCTTCATATTGCTGCTCAGTGTTCAGCATTTGCTGACACTGCCTGCGACTTTCACGTGAACACGTGTCTGAGCACACCTAAATGCCGCCAGCAAGACATATATTTAGAGATTGCAGGGTGTTTTCATGGAACTGGACTCACTGGGTCATGTTATTTTAGTTTTGATCGCACTATATGGCAAAAGTTGCAGTTCCTTTTGTTCCAGAATACTCCAAACTTAAAAAATATTCTTGCAAATTGCACAGGCTTTTTCCAACTTAATCGTATGGGTTTTCAGTGAATAAGCAACGTTGAAATTTGCAAATTTCACATAAGTTAGCCATGTTCACAGAAGAAAAATCCAGATAGCATCAGGTTTACCGGTGCAAATGCGCATTTTTGCATGATCCTATCATGCAGAGAGTTCGCCTGTACCACTGGGAATTGAATGCTGTGTTGCAATTTGAACATTTGATGCTCCTATGTGCAAAGCAATTGCCTAGCCATTTTAGGCTTGCTAATTTGCACATAAACAGAAAACATCCTCAGGAAAATACTGTTTCTGCTCAGCCGAGTTAATTGGGCGCCAGTTGTGCTCCGAACTAAATATTCACTTGCTCGCGCGTGCGACTTGAGTGCACTTTAAAGTTGAATTTGAAATATTTAAATCGCACACTGGCGTAGAATATTTTAGCAATGTTTCAGATTAGCTGGCGAATTCGCTTTTCGTTACAAATATCTTGTCATGTCCGAACACCTCATTTTACGTCTACATGCGTATGCATGAAAAGCAAGTACTCTTCTAAAGTTAGAGTGCTGCAGTCACCTGGTTCTTGAATCGGCATTTTGCCAGCGATGTCTCAGCCTCAACTACGATGTGTCCGTAAACGTGACGGAGGAGTTAAAGTTGAATTTAAAATTTTTAGCTTGCACAGGAACACAGAGATTGAGACATTTGCATAAATAAGCAAAAACCATAATGAAATTTATCACTTGTAGTAGACAGTACAAAAAGTAATGGATTAAATGTAAGTCCGGGTCATTCATTATTTCCAAATTCTATAAGTACAAAATTAAGGCTACACACAAAAACAGCATGAGCTATATTTTGAAAACCTGGACAGCACAAGAAATATTTCGTGTAAAAAAAATTTATTAATGAAAAATTGTTTGCTTGCCTGTAAGGCATATCCTTTATGAGCTAGGAACATTTGTATCGGGAAAAAACGCCCATGAATTTCCTTAAACGCCAGAGAGGCAATCTGCAAATGATAGCAATAAATATGGAAAATCAGAAAATTTCACTGAAAAGTAGCGTCACGAATTACAAAATCACCGTGTTCATGCGTCTTTGCAGTTAGCTGTGGAAGTTTGCGACAGCGCATGAAGGACAGTGCTGGATTTTTTCATCCGTCTGATGGGGTGACTCAGCAGACATGGTTTAGTGGCAAGCAGTTGCAGCTCGCTGGGGTACTAACCAAACCCACCCATCCCACTACGATGCTTTTATTTCCTTTTTGGCAGCATTTGGTGGAATTCGCTCCATCAGGAGTTAAAACTTAATTTGAAGCTTAAATTAGCATTCATCTGTGTTATTCAGTAAGTTAAAGCTTCAAATTAAAAAAGCTGCAAGCTTTTAAGTTCATGCAAGTAAAAAAACAAAGAAGTTTTAAGATTTATTTTATTTTTGAACGGAACCAGCGGAAATAAAACTTCCATTCTATGCACCAGGATAACTGCATGTATGGATTCCACGGAATATTGATGTGGCTTCAAGAGTAGGAAAATATGTCATAAAGCAGTACCCGGTTTAGGCACTGGCCATTTTTGCCTGCACTGAGGAATGGTCTAAGCTTATCAAAAATTAAAATGCTAATGCGAAAGTCATAAAAACTGGAATTAGACGACTCCTGACCAACACGGTATCTGAAAAAATTTCTGTTCATGCACACCACTAAGCAAAAGTGTCGGCTGAACACTTTTTTTTTGAAAAAAAATGGCGTTACGTAGAGGCTTCAAATATTCATTGCTATAACACAAAAAACCGGCAAAAAATTCAAAGTAGTAAGCTCACATGTGCTTTATAGTCCTCTCTGCATCCCTCGTTACTGAAACATGCTAGGTAAGGTCGATTTGCTGCGCACAAATGCTGATTTTTGGGTATCAGAATGCGAGTTCTGCTGTGAAAAAAACGCCGCTGACGCGTGTCAGGAAAGTGCGATACCTCTGAATTACCAGATCGAACTTTACGGACATTCTGCCCGATTTGCATCGTCTAAATAAAAATACAACTTGGATTATATGCATCCAACAAACAGTGTAAAAGTGAGAATAAAATTTTGTTTTTTTTTTTTCACGGAATAGGGCCTTTAACAACTTCAAAGCTCCACTTGATGCGCTAGACTGTCGATGCAATTGCACATACAAACGTAATCTATCCACAGAAATGTTTAAAAGCGAATGGGTTATGCGGCAGATTTCAAAACGATGCGTAGTGAAGCGGATGGAATAAGTAATTAATTAACAAGTAGAATACCTGGAAAGCAGTCTCAAAGCAATGCTTTAGCTCTTCACGATCGCACTGGTCTTCATTCGAATTGGATCCAGACAAAAATGCCATTGTGGTATTGGTAGAGGTTGTACGAAACGATGTTGCAATAAAGATAATGCTTGCTGTCATAAGCACTCCAATTAGCATCGCATTATCAGCCAATTTCTTTCACATCTCTCTCACAACTAACTTGTAATTCAATTCCAGAACTAAAAAGAACCTGGATGAGATTTTCAGTTTTAATCTTTGATCATACTTGCGGAACGTAATGATCGCCCGTACCACTTAAATGCAGAGGGACCGGCGAATTCGATGCCCCAACTATTAATTTAATGGCTTAGTGTTGTGGCTTGATAGGGAACCTACCAACATAGAACATAGCACTGATGGAAAACTGCTAAATCGGGAACGAGAAAGGTGGAATTTTAAGCGAATATTTCCCACTCATGTGCGACTAAAGGCCTCAAATTCAGCTCATGTCTGGATCACACATTTGAAATATTTGGCCAACGCAGGGATGCCCGTGCGAAGATGCGTTTTTTGCATGGTTACTCACAGTATTTGTCACTACCGGCTTCGGTTTTTTCGGCAAATGCTTCTAGCTAAACAAATTAAGACTGGCCGCCAGAGCTGGCAGGAAACACCCCCTTAAAATT